AAAAAAAAAAAAAAAATAAAATAAATAATTTGAAGAACTTTGGAAAGAAATACGAACGACGATCAGTTATTAATTTTAATAATCGAAGATTTTTCGTTTCGTCGATTTTTCGAAGCATGTTGAGAGTTTAATCTCGTTTCGTCGAGAATCGATAGAAAGGGGAGGGAAAAAAAGGAAGCATCCATGGTGAGAATAAATTAAGCAATGGGACACCGTGGCGTCTTTTCTAGGCCGTTACCAAGGGATACCGACTCTACGTCGTGTGACCAGGGGGGGTAACGAACTAAATGGAAGCAGAACTGCGTGCACGAGGTGGTCAGCCATTAACCTAGATTCTTTCTTGATCTAATCGCGATTATTATTACAAATAATCCAATCATTTTCTTTAATATCATTTCCATCTTTTTCACACTTTTTTAAGCACGATCCTTACCAAACGAATTATATACGTACATTATTATCTACGATACTCTCCACTCTTTTAAAATTTCCATCTTTGACCTCTCTTTTTCTCCCTCTCTTTCTCTCTCTCCAAATTATATTTTAAAATCTTTCAAAAATCTGTTCATCGACGCGATTTTCAGCAAGAAATCTTTTCGAAATCTAATCAAATCTTATCGAAGAGGCGTTCTCACGAATGGCCTAAATTCTGAAAAGTTTTTTCCAGATCTAGATCAGTTACCCTCGTGAATAAATTCACGAAGCCTATAATAAAGGATACCGCGAGATCTCGAGCCTCCTGTATCGACGACGCGAGTTCACGCGAGCGGGGGACCGGAAGTGGGTCAGCTATCGACGCTTTTTACCTGTGACTCTCAATCTGTGCTCGAATAAAAAGATATAGGGGAGACAGTTGAAATAGATTCGAACGATCTACTGTTAATCTTTATCACGGATCTATTTTACCGCTAATAAGGGTGTGGTGGTTTTCTGGTTAAAATCGAACGATGGAGGGACGGAGCATGGCTTCGAAAATGGGGTAAACTGGGTGTAGACACGAAGCGAGCTCGACGAGAACGTAGACCTCTCATTTCGTCCGTTTCTATCGTTTCACCGGCGTTTCTTTATTCGATTAACCGTGCCCTAACGATCCCTGGTAACTGGCGTAAGTCACACGCGAAGAAGTAGAAGGAAGAGGCATTGTTAGGAAAGATATAGATGGGCGTAAGGGTGGCGCGTTATTATTAGAAAACGGTGTGCTTACATACCGCTGTCCTGAAATTAAAACGCGTATCGTGCACTAGAAATCTAATTTCAACCGCCGTGTCCTTCTTCTCGATCGTTGCTCGAGGCCTCTTCGAGAGATATAAATCTTGGGTGTTTGTTCCTTCGAAAAACATCTGTTAGAGATCTGTATTCTATATAACGCAACAATAGCAACCGTTCTTCTCTCCGTTCTACGAAGAGAATTATTGATTTGATTTATTTGAAATTGTTATTATCGTCCCGTGGATTTTTAACGAACGATCCTTCCATTGAAAAGTCATCGAAAGTCATTTCAGAAGAATGGCACGATTCAACCGATCATTTTTCAAATATCGATATCTTCTTCGTTCAGTTGTTTATGATAATTCGTAAAACGTAGTAAATCAAGCATTATCAAATTAAATTTTCCGCGTAATAATAGATCTACGATAAATGTTATAATTAATATAATGTTTTAATTATCTATATCCATTACTTACAGTTTGGTGCAAACCGGGAAAAGGTTCCGAGAGCCCCGATTACACCGAAGACGATACACTGTCCGAATACATCGATGATGACAACAACGACGACACCGATGAGCTGGTCGATGATGTGAACGATACCGCAAGCGCCGTGGACGATGACACGGCCAGCGCTATCGAGGAACCGCAAATCATATCAAAGCCCGAGAGTATACGAATGAGGAACGGAAGCACGATATACCTGCATTGCCTCGTGAAAAATGCAGGTCCGTGTAACGAGTGACGCGATTCCTCCGCGATTATTTCTTTCTTAATCTCTCTTAAATAATACGCCAAATCGGGAAATCAAATCATCATGTTGATGAAAAATATTCGAAATATATTTCAGACAATTTCGCGGTCACCTGGAAGAAAGACGACAATTTCATGTATCAGGAAGGAAAGAGAATTGTTATATTGCCGAACAATACGTTGGTGATACACGATGCCAATGTCAATGACACTTCCGACGATTACGAGTGCAGTATCATGCATCCTAAAAAAACTATTACGATCAAGCACAGAGTGCAGATCGTTTCTCAAGGTCCGCGCACGCAGAAAGTGGATGTTACTTCTGAAAGGCCTCAAGTTCTGCCTACGGTCACGCAACGAACGGATGCTGCTTCTGAAAGGCCTCAGATATCACCATCGACTCATCACAAACAATCGGAGATACGTGTAACCCCCGGTAAAAGGGTGGAAGTCAACGCTGGTGATAACGTCACCCTCGGTTGCGAAACGAGGATACAACCGATACAAGAGATAAAGTGGTATCACGAGGTAAGAAGAGATTTCTATTCAACACCATATTGTGTACATATTTATAGAGGAATACAAACATTTTAGGAATGAAAGTGCAAGTAGAAAAGTTACATCGGAATGTTTAATTAAGGGAAAGCGAAAATTGTATTTAGTAAAAATATCTGTTAATTTTCACGTTTCTTTCTTTCTTGTTACAGAACGAAAGAGTTCATAATAATATAATCGTATCCGGTAATCGTATCACTATCGTGAATATTAATAGACACGATGCTGGTCATTATCAGTGTTTGGCCGAGAATGGGATGGAGTCTCCACCTGTAGAAGCCATTAACGTCATTGTCAATTGTAAGAAAGAATTCAAGGCATTCGTTACCGGATGACCTACTATTCTATATTTAAATGTTGCTTCGACGAATAAATCAAGCATAAAAAAAAAAAAAAAACGTTTTTTTTTTTTTTTTTTTTGTTTTTTTTTTTTGTCCTATAATGGTATTAATTCTCCTCCTGTAGAAGCCATTAACGTCATTGTCAATTGTAAGAAAGGATTCAAGGCATTCGTTACCGGATGACCTACTATTCTATATTTAAATGTTGCTTCGACGAATAAATGAAGCATAAAAAAAAAAAAAAAAACGTTTATTTGTTTTTTCATAGACGCTCCAGAAATAGAGACAAAGGGGAAATGGGTGCACACCGGAATCGGAGTAGAATCGCGGTTATCGTGTATCGTGCATGCTCATCCGCATGCTAACGTAACGTGGTTCAAGGATCAGAAGAGAATATTACCGAAGAAAAACAGTATAGAGCTTAGAGGAAACAAAACTCGATACGTTCTTGATATTTTGCACACCCAATTCGAAGACTTGGCTAATTACACGTGCGTAGCGGAGAACAAATTGGGACGGACGGAGAAAACTATTTCCCTTACCGGTAATTTTCTTATTTTTTTCATTTAGGATAAAATAAAATAAAACGAAACTATGAGATTTGCATTCCTTAATTATATCAAATCTAAATTGCTTTGCAGGTCTTCCTTCTCAAGCGATTATTTCTGGTGGTGAGATGACAAGGACCGCATCAGGGTTAATTTTAAAATGGCACTTGGAGAGCTATTCGCCGATTATTGAATATAAAGTAATTATATTTTTTATTAGTATCTTATTTTTTTTATATCTATCGTTATTACGACTAAAATAAATTTATTACGTGACATAGCTGCAATATCGTCGTAAAGAAGATCCTGAATGGATTATTGTGAAGCCTACGGTAACGAACGGTAGAGGAAATCAATTCATTGTCGAGCATACAATTGAAGGACTTCAACCTGGATCGTATGAAGCAATTGTTATGGCTAGAAACGACTTTGGATGGTCTTTACCCTCGAAGCCACATACATTTGTAGGAGGTACGAAGATGATATATTTTGAAATCAATCATTGTATAACGAAGTTGTTGATTTATTAAATTCTTTTTCTCAATTGCTTTACAGAATACGCGGATGAGCAAGCTGAGAATGGTAAATATCGTAATATATTATGCAATAGAACATCTGTTTGTAAATGAGCATATCTCTTATGAATATTTAATGCGTTTCTAGTTAGAGGACCGTCAGCGGGTGTATCTCAACCTGCTTTAGCCATTGCAACATTATTCCTAGTCGTTTCGTCCTGTGCCTTTACAAGTCTGTAATTTACCGAACTTCTTAAACTATAGGTATATTTGTTATATACAATTATATTGATTTATATATTGAAAAGTATTAAGATATATTGATTAATAACATATCAATTTTATATACGCAGGTAATTTGCTGCAGCCAAAGCGTACACCAGCAAATGCAATGGTGGGTTTAGTGAAACAAGAATGTCTAGGAGAACTGTATATTGCTGGTGTAATATATTTTTTAAAATAATATTAGTTATATTTATTTTAAGCAAGAGATAAATAATTAATATGTTCCCTAGCAGAATAATATTTCCAAAAACATGTTAGCTAAATTTTATATTGCTGCTTGTTCGAGTAATCAAATATTTGGAAATGATACGAAAAAAAAAATTATATTATGATTTATGTTTAAATATAACAAGCAAAAATGCATTTTTGCATTTGTATTGGTATATTGTTTTTTTATAAAAATTTGTCAAAATTTAATTGTGGGCATTCTTTAAGTATAAAAAAATACTTTCAGGTTATACAGTATACATTAGATAATTCTCCTAGATATTCTGGTACGTATTATTAAAAAAAAAAGAGCATTTTAATTGTACTCTAAATCAAGA